AAAGGAATGGGAGGGGGACAAAAAAAATCGAAACATATTTCAGACCATTTCAAAGAACATTTTTCACCTCATTTTGAAATTTTTCATAGGATTTTTTTTTTTTTTTTTTTACCCAGCTCTTAACTCTAATCCTACTGAAAATCTCAGCCCCTTCAAAGCTCCTTGTGAGACTTTCCTTTAGGGTTGTCTCAATGGGTATATTTCAAACCATTATGTCTCAGAGTTTCAAGGTTCTGCATGTGGTGGAAGTAAATTGTCACAGTGAGGAGCTCCACTCAGAATGTCTTTGGAATAGTGTGGAATGGCACAGGAATGAGAGAGGTTTTGTGGAATTTGAATAGTGTTACCAAAGCACTGGTACTGTAGTATTCTGAGATTAACCAAAATTAAATCTCAGGTTATAGAACCGCATGTGCACATACAAAATGGGAAATGACTACTGAGGAAGGAGTGCTGCTGAAAGGGTTATGGGGATCATAGTGGACCACAAGCTAAGTATGAGCCAAAAGTGTAACACTGCAAAAATACCCCAAACCAAACCTAAACATAATTCTCAGATGTATTAGCAGGAGTATTGTAAGCATGACATGCAGGCTGCGTCTAGACTGGCAAGTTTTTCCACAAAAGCACTTGCTTTTGCGCAAAAACTTACCAGCTGTCTACACTGGCTGCTTGATTTTGCGCAAAAGCACTGATGTTCTACTGTCCGAAATCAGTGTTTCTTGCGCAAATGCTTTGACGTTCCTGTTCGGGCAAAAGTCCTTTTCCGGAATTGTTTTTGCGCAAGAGGGCCAGTGTAGACAGCTAAAAACTGTTTTGCACAAAAAAGCCCCGATGGCTAAAATGGCAATCAGGGCTTTCTTGTGCAAAACTGCGTCTAGATTGGCATGGATGCTTTTCCGCAAAAAGTGCTTTTGCGGAAAAGCGGCCGTGCCAATCTAGATGCTCTTTTCGGCAAATGCTTTTAACGGAAAAACTTTTCCGTTAAAAGCATTTGCGGAAAATCATGCCAGTCCAGACGTAGCCACAAAGTAATTCTTCCGGTCTACATTGCACTGATTAGGCCTCAGCTGGAGCATTTATTAGACGACAGAAAATTATATCCTCTCTTATCCCAATGGCAACAAAACCAGGCAGTATTTTGTTCAAAATCATGGCCAATTCTATTCCACTTACGCTGAGCAGTGTTTACTAAAAATGTAACTAAGCATGGCATAACCAGGGCTGGTCACAGACTTTGCTGGGCCCTGTGCACTGTGAGGGTAGATGGATCTTGGTTCCAGGCCCCTCAGGAAGGAAAGTGCTAGGGGCAGCCAGCCCTTAATGCCAGCCAGACAGCACCATGCCTCCCTCAACCAGCCTTCAGAGCCACCCAGGCTGAGCTGTGTGGGGCTCTGTAGTGATCAAAAAGGCCTGGAGCTCTGGCCGGTGACGGCAGCCCCGAGCCTGGAGGCCTTTTAAATTGCTGGGCTTCAGGACAACTACCTCTTTGCTTCCCATCGGTGACCCTGGGCATAACGCACTACTCATGTATAAGCATTTAGAAGAGAGTTTAGGCCTAGACTTTCATTAGCTTCCCATGGAGTTACCATATCAACACTCTATGGCACCACTATTATTCCCAAATATCCAGAGGCCTTGGATCAAAGTTTTATCCTTTTAAAAAAGCTCTTCATTTTACCTTTTGACTTCTTGGATCTTTTTATTGGTTCATATTCCCTCACCACCACCACATACCAATGAAAGACATGCAGCAGTGATGAGCACCTGAGGCAGAATTTAGAGAGCTGTACGTGTTTTTCAGTTTGGGAGGGAAATAGATGTGAGGCAGCCAGCTGTGCTTAGCTGGTAATCCAGCCCTGAATTCTTAGGGACAGAATGTAACTTTCAAACCACAGCCCACAGTGGAGGGGCCCTGGAAGGAATTCTGGCAGATTCAGAATCCTTACACAGCCAGAAAACTTCCTTGGGCTCTCAGGGCCAGCAGGTCTATGACCTTATCACTTACTGCATAAATGCTCCAGCTCAGGGAAGAAACAGTAGGACCTTTTCTTAGCTAGGAATCATTATTAGATCAATTGGGATATGTAGGCACGTTCTCAGGCACTCGTATGGCCATCGTGACCAAGAGCACCTCACAATTCGTATGTCGTTAGACAACCCCCTGCTCTGCGGCAGGGCCTGCCCCATCTGACCCCCTCCCCAAGCCTCGAACCCCACCTCTTCCATCCCTTGCTCCATTCCATGCCCCAACCCTGCCCTGCCTCCTCCTCCCCCACTCTGCTCTTTCTTGCCTCTTTCTGCCCCCTTCCTCAGTGCGCCCCATCTCTGCTTCTCCACCTCCCTCCCAGGGCCTCCTACACACCTGGAAACAGCTGATCATGGTGGGCAGGGGTCGCTGGGAGGCAGGAGGAGGAGTTGTACAGTGGGGTTGCCAGTGGACAGGAGGCACTGTGGGGCAGGGGAGGGGCTAGGTGCCAGTGGGTGCTAAATACCTACTAATTTTTTGTGGGTGCTCCAGCCATGGAAATCATGGAGCTGGCCCCTATGTTTGGGGGTAGGGTAATAATAAGAGCCCTATTGTACAGGCAGGGAATGAATAGGGCTGTTCCAAAAGGGGAATGGGGCCTGAGGAAACTCCTCCACTGCTGGCTCCACCCCCTTCTACCCGTTTTCCAAACCCCACCCCTGCTTCACCCCCTCCCCTGAGCAATGCAGCCTGGAGAACTATGGGGATCCGACATGGTGGCAGCAGGAGTTGCCTATTCCTCCACTCACCGTGCAGCAGTAGGAATAGAGTGGCCTGGTAGTCTTCTCTGCCCCAACCCTCCTGGCCTTCTGCACTGTGCTTCTCCACAGTGGTGGGAAGCAGAGTGCCCTAGGGCCACAGCTCTCTGCCTCCCACTGCCACCAACAAACTGAGCACAGCAGGGTGGAACAGGCTGCTGGACTGCTCTGGCTCCCATCGCCTGTGTGGTGAGTATGGGGGAAGTGACCCCTGCTGCTGCTCTCTGCCAGGCCCCCCGTAATCTCCCAGGTCCCTGCCATTCATAGGACAGTTAAGGTAGCTGCTGTGGGGTCCCCAAAAGTATGGGAATGAGTCACAGAGAGACTAATTTTACCACTGACTTCCATGGGACCATGATTTCACCAATCTGTGGCTGAGCAGGAATTGAAAGGAATTAGCACCTTCCCCAGTGGATCATGCTTTCTCTCTCAGAGAGTTTTTGAAGCATACAGGCTAGGGAGACTGAGGGAATTAAAACTACCTCTCTTCTTAGCACCTCTAAAGGACCAGCTACAATCAAGTATTTAAAAGAATTTTATATAAATTCCAGGGTTGCTTTTAGCACAAAAAACAATGCATCCTCATGAGTAATGGATAGAAATAATAAATGGCAACGGTGTTCTTTTATATGACTTCATGCAGATAATTTCAGACCTCTTACAGCAATCTCTCCCATTAAAAGCAAAATGACCATCTTTACATAGAGCAAAAACTAAGCAAAGAAAGCTATTCATCGAGAAGGCAAAAAGATGAAATTTGAATTATATTACGATTGAGACTTGAAAAATAATTGTAGAATTGTTCTTGCTTTTGAATCATAAAAAGACAGAATGTGTAATCTTTCACCACAGGTGATATGAAGCTTGCCAAGCAATTAGCTAGATCAGATAAAACTGGAGAAGAAACAAGTCCCTTTGAAATCAGATGTTAATTGAATACTGAGAAAATTAGATTAGATTATTATGTGGTGAATTCTTTACTTCTGTTCACACCGTATTAAAGGTCAGCTCCTACAGCCCTTTAACTCCACTCACAGATCTGAATACAGACTGTAGGCGCTGAGCCTTTATGCAAAGAAAATAAAAATAGACAAGCAGCTTGACTAGTAAAATGCAGGATGTAATTTAATGTAATGTAAATTCCATATAAATGTAATTTAATCTAGCAAAGTGTACCATAGAACTCTGTTTGAAAATCTTAGGCCTTTTTTGCTCTAGTTCTTGATATACTACAGTGTAACATATCTATAAATCTTTACCATTTTATCTAGGATATGTTGGGGTTTTTTTGCCACAGGTGATTAGTTATATTTCTAAAGTTAAGGTAGTGGAAAAGAAATCTGCCTCAAAGAGAATCTGTAATTCCTTTTTGGCTCTGAAAGTGGCGCAGTTGCCATAAACTTCTAGAAGCATATATTGACTAACTCTTCGAGAACTCTCCCTGTGAAATATTTCTTTGGGGCATTTGGTTCGTGTTTGTACTGGTCTGACACAAATCACATTTTAAAGACTTATCAAGACCCCAATCTCTTTGTGCGGATCACAGCAGCTGCAGCAGGCTCAGTAATGCTATTCAGTTTTAGAGTCTCACCAGCAGAGCAAGCATTCACCATCAAAATATATGTACAATGCAGCAACTCTACAGTACACACATCTATATCTATCAGGGAATTTGGTGCTATCGGCTGCAGTGAAATCATTTAATTTAAAAATATAGTATCACAATGATTTGTGTTCTTAAAGGTTAATTAATGATACCACTCATACTTCCTGTGCACAAGTTATGCACACATTACTGAGTGCAGAGAAAAATGCTCAGCTAGTTGAAAAGGAGTATACAAAGAACACTACACAATTTTCAGTCTCTTTCAACTTGATCTAGATGGGTATGCACACAGGTGCATAATTATACACATCTATTTAATGAAATTATTAAACCTTTATTGCTAAGGCTGCATGTGTATACAGTTTAACAGTAAGGACTTAATGATTTAATAAACAATTTCTAAGGTATATATGACAGACAGAATAATTTCATTGTATAGATTCTGTTTCCCCTTAGGAATTTTTGTCACATGCATCCAGTGTAAAAATTTAGACAAAAAGACTCTGCAGCATCCTGATGGTAAAAAGTATTTAATTAGACATTGAAAAAACAAACTCCCACTTCCCATAATCACAGCTATAGAGCATAGGAATAGCACCACAATTACCTTGCTTGAGGTGAGTGACTTTCTATTTCCTTTTCTCCTCACAGTATGAAGGCGGTATTTTTTCCCAAGTTTTTCTGCACCACAAAGTCCAGTCAACGTTATTCTAAAGAATCAGAAACAAGCAGGAAAAGGAGGCCTGGACACTTTTTTTTTTCTGAGTGGAGCTAATCAAACATTCCCATCAAGCTCCCAGCACTTTGAAAGGCACATTACACTCACTCGCTTGCTCTGTGTCTCACCCCCCCCTCCCCGTCCAACACACATGCAGAGCTTCTTACTCTGAGTTAGCTGCTGAATTAGGCGGTGCTCTTTTAAATTTCTTCTCCCTCCCACTTTTTTTTAAGGGATTTCTATTTTCTCAAGATGAAATTAAAATGTACCCACTAGTCTGTCAGATCTGTCAAGTTTTGCTCTTTTGGAAACCTTTTCTGATGATTTGGTTCCATTTTCTTTAGTTTCAGCATTTCAGCAACACTGAAGTTGAGATGTTAGCTTGTTTGATACGACAAGGGCTACAGCCAGTAGCATGAAATACATTGAGTAGTTCTGAGGATTATAAATACTAGACAAAATTGTGAGCTAGATTTAAAAAAAAACTTGCTTTTTAAGAGCCAGGTTTTGATCCTTTTACTCACTTGAAGTAGCTTCTTACTTTAGAAATAGCATGGAGCTCAGTGCTACTGTTTGTGAGTAAAGGCACAGTACTAGAATTTGGCTCATAAAAGCATTTCAGGTAGAAATGAAAAAACAGTGCTGCTTTCCCTCATGAGTGTAGATTTTTGGGGCATTTAGTAAAATGATATTAAATAGTTCCCAGTTCTCATTCATTCATGTTTATGTTCAAATTCTTTCTCCCAACTGATTTGGCAGATTGTTTTCATCTTTATGAAACTGGCCCTTTTAAACACCAACTGTATATATAGTACTGTCTTGGACTTGATCCAGTTTGTGACTTACTTTGTTGTGTGCAATCACTCATTTTCAAAACAAAATACGACAAGATCAAATGAAACACACAAAATGACCCAAAAAGTTGAGTAGCTTTTCCTAGAAAGACCCAGTTACTTCCAAGTGTGAGGTTAGAAATGCTGAGCATAATTCACAATGCCTTCTGAGTACAGTGTTATTAAGTATATGAAGGAGGCCCTAGATATTTTGCTTTGGCCAAGGAGGAGTGTTTAAATAAATAGAGGAAACCGAATTCAATAGAAACACTGAAGCCATGTGTACTTCCTGATTGCCCTTGGCCCAAGAATGGTGCTGATTTATTTGAATCCAAAAGCAAAAGATTATCGTTTGTTAGTAGATCACTAGAGCCCTACCAAATTCATGGTCCATTGTGGCCACTGTCGCAGTCATAGGATTTTAAAAATCATAAATTTCATAATTTCAGATATTTAAATCTGAAATTTCACAGTGTTGTAATTGTAGGGTTGTGGGGGGGAGGGGGGGAGAGGTTGCAAGGATGGCTCCCCTTGTTTCTGCAGGGCTGCCTTCAGACCTGAGCCATTGGTTACCAGCCACCCAACTCTGAAAGAAGCACAGAAATAAGGATGGCAACACCACACCCTCCCCAAAAATAACCTTGCGACCTCCCCATCAACTCACTTTGGGGACAGAATCCTCAATTTTAGAAGTGCTGGACTCCCCCATGAAGTTTGTAAAGCACATAAAAGACCAGATTTCACAGGGGGAAACCAGATTTCATGGTTTGTGACACATTCGATGGCCGTGAATTTGGTAGAGTCCTATAGATCACTATTCTAATTTTAGCTAAAATGTTACAGTTGTACAACAGATTAGTGTAAAAACATTGCATACTCATCAAGGGCATGTCTACCCTAGGAAATTATTTTGAAACAATTTATTTCAAACAATAACTCCCAAAATAACTATTTCAAAAAAGCACTACAGGGAAGCCTTGAAATTAGTCCGAGGCGGTCTCCTTTATCCTATGTCTATGCTGCAATGCTATTTCAGGATAACAGAGTATCCCAAAATAGCTATCCAGAGTCTTCACAGCAAGCCCGTTATTTCAAAATATAACAGGCTCGCTATTCCAAGATCCTTGTAAACCTCATTCTATGAGGAGTAAGGGATGTTTCAGAATAGCAGGTTATTTAGAAATTTGGCACTGTGTAGACAGCGCCAAATTACAAAATAAGCTATTTTGAAATAAGATCAAAATAAGATACGTAATTTGAGTAGCTCAAATTGTATATCTTATTTTGAGCTGTTGTGTAGTGTAGACACACCTTTAATGTGGACACACTACCTCAACATAGAGCCCCACAAAGCACTGGGTGGTAATTATTTTGAATGACTGCGGGATAGTTACTTTGATATAGCAGCAGTGGAGCATCCACTCTACCCCTATTTCAAAATAACTATTTTGAAATAAGCATTACTCATGGAAAGCAGAAGTTATTTCGAAAGAACCAACACCCTATTTTGAAATAATGGGCTTGGTAGTGTGGACGCTCCACTTGTTATTTCGAAATAAGGGGGTTTATTTTAAGATAACTCCCTAGTGTTGACCAGGGCCAAAGGATTACAAACAAGTTACTAACAAAAATTGGCCCAGAATTCACACACGACTAATTTCAGCCATTTTTTCAGTGATTTATCCATTCAAGAATACCACATCAAGTCCTTAAGATGCAAATTCAAATGGTTTAACAGAAAAATCAATTCAAAGAGCAAAGACCTTGATAAAAAGAAAAGCTGTTAATATCATAACACACCTCCTAATGCTTTATGATGTTCAGATGGGCAAAAGGAGCTTAGGGTCAGATTTTTAAAGTTGCGAATAGGTACTTATGAAAATTTTACCAAGTGCCTAAATCCATCAATTCCCCATCACTCCAGGAATTGAAAATGAAAAGCACAATGATCAGCACAGGCTCCATGTGGTAGACACACCTCAGTGGCCACTGCAGAAGGAACTAACTGGGAACAAGACTTGTTCCTGTGAATCAGGAAGTCATCAGGATTGGAGATGATAATTACTGAGGTCCTATAGGAGTCAAAATAACCCCCTCATCTGTCACATGTTCAGATCCTCTCTCGACTGAGATGTCTCTCTAGTTGTATATTCCATTAATTGGCATTATTTTTTGTGCTAGCTTTTGGTCGCTGTTATTTTACTTGCATATGAGTTCAAACCAAAAAAGGGGGATGGAATAGTTAATGGCAGCCTCTGAATTCTGTCCTCTGTCAAGAGTCTCTTCTTTCATCTGGCAATTGAAAAGCAGTGTGCTGGGATTATAATTTAATTTTAAAATCCAAAAGCTGTTTTAATGCTTCTGGGTTAGCTAGGTGGATCCCCCTTGTATCACCACTGTAAGTGTGAATTGGGCAAGTGTCCATGATGTGTCACGTAGTTTGTACCTCACCACGATTACAATTTGGTGGTTCGTTGATTTTTCCATTTGCGGGGGAAATACCCACACCTTTGGCACATTGTTTTTAATGTGGTTATAAGCACTGCACTGCCAATCGGGAAGGAAAAATTATTGGATTTCTTTAGTTGGACCTTCAATCAGGTCTTTGTTAGAAATGTCACAAGAGGCCTACCATTCAAGCTAATGAATGTGGGTGTTCTTTCCATTGGCTTGTAGCGCTGACGCATGGCTCCAGGAATACTTCCTGGTTTTGAGTCAGGTGAGTGGCAATGAATTGATGTATAAGTAGCTCTGGAATGAGCAGCCAGAATCTTATTGTACTTCTGGACCACAGCAGTATCTCACCTGATGTAGACTGCCATGATGCCTACCTAAGTCGGAAGCCAAGATATTGGCATTGATTTGAGAGACACATTAATAATCTTGAGTGAAGCATTGATTTCAATGTCAGTGAGATTGGTGTGGAGTTATTGCACCAAACTGGTATGCAACATTCCGCTGATGACTAAACCAGGGCTTGTACAGATGCTTAAAGTGTGCATGCATCCCATCCCATCTCCATCATTTACCAATGAGCTTCTGAATTATGTTAACCTTTGTTTTTATCTTCTTTTTGGTGCTGTCAAGATTTTGGCAATAACTCAGTGTCCAATCGAGGGAAACTCCAAGGTACCCTGGAGTTTGGTTTTAAGTGCAAGGCAGAGATGAATGTTTTCAAAGCATTGGAGTTCGATCGCCAAGGTTTGAAATGAGTCTCACGTTTCCAGACGTCTCTGTTCATGACCTGTTCTGTGGCCTTCAGAGAGGACATTTGCATTGCTAGCACAGTATCTGCTGCATAGATGAATTTATGGGATGGTGTGACCAGAATGACACTTGTAAAGAGATGAAGTATTGAAGGCACGAAAACAAACAGGATTGTTACACTTTTGTGTTTGTGATCCATGTCAGGTGGCTAGTGCCAGGAACTAAAGTCCAGCTACTTACCATTATTCCTGGGTGTCATAAATGTATTCCTAGTGGGGCTAGTGCATGTCATGTGGCCTGGTCATGCTTGTACAGCACAGAGAATCCTGAAGGCTATATGTCACAGCAGTACTGCACAACAGCAGCAGAAGCTCACTGATTCCTCTTCAATAAAATATGCCAGACAAAATAACTGTCAGTGTTAATTTTCATATTTGTGGTTTCTGAAATGCAAACTAATGTGTTTTCATTGCCATATGATAGAGACAAAGCAGTGCAGCTTTTCTAATGCTAGCTCCTACTTCTGCAATCTATGTGAAGTCTTTGGGAGAATAGCTGAGCAGTGCAAGCAAGAGCAGTGACTATAAATTACAGGTTGAACCTCTCTAGTCTGGCACCCTTGGGACCTGACCAGTGCCAAACCAGAGAACTTGTTGAATCATGGGAGGGCAATATTGTCTAGCAGCATTACTGGCTGCTGACTGGGTGCTTAGAAGACATTTAGGGGTAAATTAGAGCTAAATAATAGCAAAGAGCACTGAAAGCCAGGACTGGTGGCTGTAAACAAACTTTATGGGACCATGGGAAACTTGGCTACACCCATGATAAATGGACAGCTGGCTAATGAAAATCATGCCGGACTATGGAGGTTGGCGGACCAGAAGTTGCTGGACTAGAGAGGTTCAACCTGTATTTAGATTTCAAAAGAAGTAGAATTCAGTTCTTTATAATGAACTTTATGGAATAAATGATGTTTTGAGAGGTAGAAAGAAAAGAATAAACAGCCAGTTACAAGAATAGAAGGAGGTTCCTATTCAGATGCCCTAGGAATCAGTGTAAGATCTAGTACTGTTTACTATATGTATTAGCAGTCCTGAGAGAGTTGGTGATCATTAACAGTGGAGAATTGTAGGGCAACTGG